TTTAAGCTGAATTTTTATTTCTGTAAATCTCTTTTCATCTGTTTCTGCTGCTGGAGCACCAGAGCATGCTTTGTTACTCCAGTGCAACAGTAACAAAGGATGCAAAGATGAAGATAACCATTTAAAAGTTGGCCATGCATAACTATGTGATATGCCATTGTCAGGAATGGTGGTGTTTTGCGTTGACAGGAACCAAGAGACTTTCTCTGTCTCGTCATTATACTTTTAATCTTCATTACCATCAAAGATTTTACAGGTCAGACTCTCCAGTTACAATAGACGTACTAAACTCAGCATCAATACGGCTGCAACTAAGACTAGCACTGACACAGAGCTTAGACGACGCTCAGACCAGACTGCTGCACCAAACCTGCAGCACGTCAACTCTAAATAGCTTGGCAAACAGGTGGATCAAATTACTAATTAGTGGACAAAGGAAAACTGGCAGTACCCAAAATAAGACACTTGAAACCTAGAAATAAGCCCAAACTAAATGGAGAACACAGAAAAACCCACACAAAAATCCAACATTATGACAGCTATGTGATTCCAAAGCATGAAAAATGCCAAAAATAACGGCATAGTCATTTTAATTTTACTTCCCCTCTTTTCTTTTCGTCAGTGCAGTTGACAAACTACTTAAATATAATGCATCAGATCATTATCTCAATCTTTGAAAGAGGAAAGACTATCATATTCTGTTTAGTAGAGAAAAGTTCATGACTCCATATATAAATTTTATCCAGATTTCCTTTTTAAAGGACTCTCCCACTGGTAAAAATATTTAGCTTGGCAGCAAGATTTTACCCAGTAAATCATTAAATGTAGATTTAAATTGCATAACACTATTACTTCTGTCGCTATTTGTGCACTTCTTCTGTTGATGAAGGTTCTTTGTGGTCTATTTTAAGTACTAAATAAAAAGTTTAATTTTCACCACCAATGGGAGGCTGCAGCCATGACAGTCCCCCACTTCACACACTCCAAATAACTGAGACAAAAGTTAAGAGATAAAAAACATACAAATTTTATAATCTTAGCACTTTGATGAAAGATTTAATACAAAAGAAAAGGAAAACTTGTAGAATTTGGAGTATGACGTACATTTAATAGTCAGTGTATGATCTTACAGTTGATGAAGAGTAAAAGAAAGAAACCAGCAAAACAAGATTATTCCATAAATCCTATTAGAAAATCATTAAAGATAAAAAAAGACTCCTAACTTTTGTGCCTCTAACACATGTTCAAAAGATTTATGTAAAGTTAAACTCAGAAGGTGATATGAATCAAAGCATGCATCAATAAGAATTTCTTGTCTCTCTGAATGTATTTATTTACTTTTTTGCAGTTTTACTAATTCAGGCTTTTCTTCTAAATAAATCCCTTTGTCATTATAGCAGATAGCTCTAAAAATATTGCTGTAATCTAAAACTGCATATGTAGTTAAACATGGTCGTCTACTTGGTGACAAGCACAGAGCCCTTTGTGGTCTTCCTGCCATGGAATGTCACCTTACATTCTAAACGCTTGTTAAAATCGGCTACTCGAGGGATGAAGGTCATGGTCGATGTTGTTGACCACAACCATTTATTCTCCTGTTTTGACATTGTGTTCCACGTTCCTGCGCGGCTCCAGGAGATGTGGGGAGGAGATGTTGGACAGACGTGAGTAACTTTGCAGGTGGCAGTCACTTTATTACGGACTTCTATAGTCATCACGGGAGGCTTAGGAACTTCTGTACAATCAACAATTTTCACAAAATCACTTGTTAAATAGTTATTTAAACATGTTTTACTATCTTAAAGTAAATGGTTTAGAAATACTGAAAAGATCTCCAATATACTCACGGAAGATATCGAGGGTCACCTTATTTTTTGAGTAAGTGAAGCTTTTATGTTGTGGAATTTCAATTCTGAAGTAAAACGGACCAGTGTCGGTTTTTCTGATGCCTTTGAGCTCCAAGGTGCAGTTGCCAGCCATCATGTTTTCCGGGATTCTGGTTCGATGGTGGAACTCGCGCGCTAGTCTCACCTCGGGGATATTTGATGCGACAACCGTCCTCCCTCTCTTCCAGAATCCCCGAAATCTGTCAGCATGTACCAACGTGTGTGCATCTGTCATGGGATACAGGTAATCACAGGGAATGACCACACATGAGCTTTCAAGAACAGGGATTCTTGATGGCACAAATATGAAAAAGTCC